TATCTTCTGTTCCACAAACTCCACCATGAATCCGATGTCTAGGGTTCCAGCAGGGAGTATAAAGGGGTAGAAATTCCCAGAAAATATGAGACATGAGACATGCTGACACTTCCCTCAGTGCTGTGTATACCCTGGGAGGTGGGGCTCTGTCTGCAGGGCTGGCTGCCATTTAGAGACAGTTCGTCCAACCCAGTCCAGGTGTACACCTGCTTCCCCAGCAGAATTATTAATGGCCCCCCACTCTGAAAAGTGGTTTCCATGGGAAAGTGATCATATAGTCACCTGCCATCAACTTACATATTGTTGCATGAGAATTGCCCTGGTGGTGTCAGATCTTATGAATCCCAGACTTTCTATTTGTAAATGCTGATAGCTATTCAGTGTGGAAGCCATTGTATAGGCCAATAATGTAAGACCAGCACGTAAACACATTTGTGGGTTGTGTTTGGCCCATTCCCTGCCAGTTCATAACATCCAATGTCTAGATACAGGGGATGTGGGAGCCATTCTTGGTGAGCGGTAGGATTTGGGCTGGGGGATTTCAGAACTTCTCTCTGACTGATGCAATCTCACCCTGTTGCTCTGAAAAAAACCAAAACCAAAAATCTGCCCTGTAGCTATTGGACACAGAATTTAGATCAATCAAAAGAAAGAAAAAATATTGAGAGTTTTTCAACAGATTAAAGTAGGGTATGCCTGTCTCTTATTTCCTGAGTTGCCTTGTAAATGAAATATATTTTGGAAACTGTGGCTATTATTCATCCTATGAAAAATAGGTCCTGTACTTTCTGACTTTATTTATTTTTTAATTTTTTAATTTCACCAAAATACTGAACCTTTATTTTTAATTTGTGAAGAGACTCAAATCTGAGAACACTCATAATACCAGTTATTTTATTCTCAAGGGCTTGCTATTGACAGATGTGTTTTAATTTTTAACTCCTGAGTAATTCAAAGACCCTTAACTTTTGTCTGTAGCATGTAGCTTTCTTAAAAATATTTAAACTACTGAACCAGGTTGTATTGGGATGTCCAGGTAAATCCATGCTACATCCCCATGCAATATAGTTTTGATGAGTAGATTTGAATATTACACTGTCAGGAGTTTATAGCAAACCCTAAACTACATTCACGGGAGGCTGCAGATATGAAAACAATGCAGTCCAAAGCCTGCAGATTGCAAGGCAGCTTTACGTGTGATTTTTCTTTTTCTAAAATAGAAACTGTGTACAATTTGAGAGAAGAAAACAGACAGCTCCGGAAAGCGCACCAGGACGTGCACACGCAGCTCCAGGATGTCAAGGTGAGATGACGCCGAGCGCCGGCTCTGGCGTTTAACTGCCTTACCCTGCAGAGAACGTCGTGCCCTGATCGATTCTCTCTACAGATCCACGGTTCTCCTGGGCTTTGCCTGAACTGGAGTGTGCCTGATAACTTTTTTTGCCACTTTAGCATAGAGGGAGGGATACTCTGCAAACCTAAATATTTTCATTGGTGCCAAAATGATTCTTTTGCTGGAAGGCTGCATTTCAAGAAGCTTTCTGTTCCCAATGTATTGCTAATAATGAAAGACGCGTTCTTTTGGTTTTGATTTCGTTGTGATTGACCGCGGTGTCTGGTCAGTACCCCACAGATTTGGGAGCATTGCATCAAGCATCGTCTTTTATAATGATGTTTGAACTTCCCAAGGGCTGATGCAGCAACAGATAACACAGCCAGTCACGTTTGGGTGGTCATGGCACTGTCAGCCAGAGAAGGACTTGTCACAGAATGTTAAAGCTCAACCTGTAAAATTCTTTTTTGTGTAGCAACAGCATAAGAATTTACTCTCCGAGCACGAGCAGCTTGTAGTGACTCTGGAAGACCACAAGAGTGCGCTAGCGGCCGCGCAGGTCAGAAGGGCGGCAGCCTCGTCTTCCTCTCCAAACCGCTTACCCTCTCTGAATTCCTTGCTGCATGTAGTCTCTCTCACAAGCAGTCTGCAGGGAGTGCCTTAGGACGGGCTGTCCTGATCTGAGGACCGTGCATGCTATCAGAAATCAAGAGAATACTAAATAAACTGTTGATTATTCCTCGCCCTGATCTGTGCGGATAAGACTGTCTCTGCCCCTTCCAGTGCTGACTTGCAGTGGTCTAGCATTTGTTCACATCACAGAGGTTAATGCACCTGTGTGGCCTTTACAGCTCTCTGATCTGTGTTGACTCTTAGCACAGGATCTGTAAGATTTGATGATGCTGACTGGGTGAATTCTTGTCACCCCTCTTCCTCTGTCCCTGCCTTGCTCCCAGCCCTCCATCCTGTGCACACCTCTGGGATAAGGCGTATGTGTTATTGGTCAATTACAGAAAGGAGAGTCAGTAGAGAAAGAAAGACAAGAGTTATAAGCCCCATTTATCAAAGCCCAGAACAGCCCCTGGCACAAGCGGGCTGTCGGTCCATGTTTAGTGAATGAAGCAGGGGACACACGTAAGCACCGGAGAGCTGGTTGAAGCAAAACCATCTCAGTGTCCTGCCGCTTTTTACTAGAAGCCGAACAGCAGGGATGGCTAGTTTAGTTGGTATTTTAAACTGACTTCTTGTTAGAGGAATTACGAAAAAATTGAGCAAAGGGAAGCTGAGTATCTATGCTCATCAGACGACCATGTGTTATTTTTCGTTTTGTAAAATTATTAAGAGGCATGATGCGTGGGCCCTGACCCATCTCGGAGGCTGTAATGTCTGTGTCTTTGAGACTTCTTTTCGAGATAGTCTCCCTACTAAACCTCAGCTACGGCATGGTAATTTTTTACGCATATATAAATTAAATTGACTTTAGAGGAGATTATTTCATGCCATATCTTCTTTATAAAATTTTCATTAAGTTATATTAGATCATATGAAACCGTTCTTCAGACATACAATGTGATGAACTAATTTGAATCCTCTGTGCTTTAATGGCCATTAAAGTTAGACTAAGCAACAATTTGAAAATGCATGGAAATATAAATAAAACAGTTCATTTGATGACTAAAACTGAATTCTGAAGGAAGCACACTGGCAGCTTTACTGACAGAGGTTTTTTTTTTTTTTTTTTTTTTACTTAAACTGTGTATTTTCCTATTTCGTTAAATATCCTTTTTTGAGAGGGTGCTCTAAGTTTACCCTGCCTTTTTTATTAAATGCCAGAACTAGCTACAGTTCTTAATTAGAGCCACGTATCTTCATTTGAGCTGCTGCAACAAAATACCATATAGCCTGGGTGGCTTGAAAAAAATGCAGATTTATTTCGCACAGTTTGGTAGGTGGGAAGTCCAAGGTCATGGCTGAATTCTGGTGAGGGTCTTTTCTAGACTGCAGACTGCTGACTTATCCTCATAGCCTCACGTGGCAGAAAGAGATCAAGAAAGCTCCCTGGGCTCAGGGCCCATAGCTCTGTGTTTAGGGCTCTGGCCACATACACAGGAGTTGGTGGGTTCCAATGCACCCTGAGCCAGCTAAACAACAATGACAACTACTATAACAATAACAACAAAAAAAAGCCAGTTGTTATGGTAGGAACCTGTAATCCCAGCTACTTGGGAGGCTGAGATAAGAGAATCACTTAAACCCAAGATTTGGAGGTTGCCATGAACTGTGATGCCACTGGACTCTACCGAGGGCGACATAGTAAGACTCGTCTCAAAACAAAAGTTCTAGGGTCTCCTTCATGGGGACTATACCCTCATGACCTAATTTTCTCATAAAGGCCCTTTGATAATATCACCTTAGGGTTGGGATTTCAGCATATGAATTCTGGGAGGACATGTATTCATTCCAGAATACCATGAAACTTTCCCCAAATCTCTTTCCAAAGTAAGCACTGCTTCAGGCCCCAAGATTTCTCCTGGAAATCACCTTAATGAGATAAATCACCTTAATGAGCAGGTCTTGACAACCTGCTTTCTAATTGTAGTTGAGGATTTTATTTATTCCCTGCAATCTAGTGATTTATATAACTTTTATAACTAAATAAACCAGTGGCCAAGAGGGAAGTAGAATAGCTGCCCCCAAACTGGTGGCCGAAACCAAGACTGACGTTCATGTCGTCCTGACATCAAACCCAGCGCTCACCTCTGAGGCAGTGTTTTATGACACTTTCCCCATCATGGGTCTCTGGGTCTTTCCCCAGACTTGTTACCATTTCTCGAGTGGGCACCTGGGAGCCTACGTTTTTAACATGGTCCTTAATGCCACAAATATTTGAGAACCACGGCATTACTGCCTTCAAATGAGTGCATCTAGGAAGAGCAGAAAGAAGAGAGGGTGGAATTGAGTTTTGTGCATTCTCCACATGAACACGTGGTGCTAAAATACTAAAAACGCCACCAAATGGATGTCATTTGTATTTTTTCTCTTCGACCTCCAAGACTGGCTTACACATATCTTAATAAGTTCCTGAGATAAGGGCCAGTGCCAGTCACCTGGTGCATCTCGGTATAAATTATGAAAGTCAGTCTCCTGGAAGAGAGTTAGCAGCAGACTTCTTCACCTTAGTGTAAATTAGAAAGAGGCAGAAAGGCAGCCTTCCCGGGGGTGGGAGGGCAGTGTGCCGTGGTGCACGGCTGCGGCAGCAGGAATGCAGGTGGGCTTCCGGGAGGGAGGCAGCCCGGTCTGGAAAGCTTGTTGAGAAATGGATGTCTGTGTTCTTTTCTGTGTGTTTATACACACAGCATTCCTATTTTCAAGTTAACAGTTTTGGTGTATATGATCAGGAAAGTATACACAATTTATATGGGTTTTATTAACATAATTTGGGTTATTTCTGCCTTTCTAGTTCCCGTCTATGTTGCATAGACACTCACACATACACACACCCCACCATGTACACACAGATACACCTGTCTCAGGAGATTCTAGTCTTAAACACGCATTAGGACCCTGCTCACTTCAGGAGGAAAAGGCCTTCTGAATTAAGGAATAAAAATCCAGCTCTGTATTACACCTATGCCACTGCTGTCCAAAAACCACAGAGCGCAGTGTAGGAAGCATTCTGACAAAAAGAAAAGGACTTTTCCTGAACACAAATGAGGTAGAGGAAAAGGGCTGCCCAAGTAACTTTTATATCCATGTAAAATATATCTGTATGTATGTGTATGTGTGCGTGTGTTTTGAATGGATGCTTCATTTACACTGAAAAGTGTTGTTCAGATCACAGCAGCAGACTTCTTCACCTTAGTGTAAATTAGAAAGAGGCAGAAAGGCAGCCTTTGTAAGTGTATATTTTTAACAGATTTAATAGCTGGCATCTTTTAATAATGATGTTTATACTATAAAGTTAAAAAGTTATTTACAAAAGTTATGGTTTTGTTAATGTGGCATGAGAAACTAACACCTGTCTGAGATATTTTTTCCATTCTCTTTAACTCTGATTCTAATTTGCATGTGCTCAAAAACCGATCAAGCT